AGAGAGCCGTGTTTGTTGAGATTAGCAGTCTTTTTTTTTTTGTGGTGTTTGGATGTTTTCCAGCTCATTTCTGCGCAGAAATTATTGCAGCAGTGTTTAACATATTTCCTTTTATGTGAAACCTCAAAGTATGGTGTACCAGATCCATTTGAGTACCGGTAAAACACTTTGCATGCATTTTTCATGATAAAAAAAGGCTCTGGGCAGCATCTGGAAATGGAAGAGTTAAAACAAAATTCCAAACGCTTATAAACGCACTTAGCCGCAATTACACGCATTTGGCGCTTGAAACTCAGTCACTAACGATGGTAACAAATAACAACCACAAGGCCTTCTCACCAGACCCAGCTACACAGCAGTAGTGGTTTCTCTGACTGGGTATCTGTTCACCCTGGGTTGTCCATGATGACGCTGGTAGATAGCTTTGTCCCTCTGTACTCCCATCATGCTCTGTATCCTCATATGGCTGAAGGCTCCGCTGGCACAGGCTCTGTTAGGTGGTGCCCCTGGACACGGTCCTGTCATACACAGCTCCTGTCACACTCTGAGGCAAATCCATATCCGACACAGGCTGTTCCCCTGTTAGGTGGTGCCCCTGGACACGGTCCTGTCATACTCAGCTCCTGTCACACTCTGAGGAGAATCCATATCCGACACAGGCTGTTCCTGTTAGGTGGTGTTCCTTTACACAGTCATGTCACATTCTCTCTCAGGGTCATCCAGAATTGCCCACCTGGATATTTCTAGTTCAATCTGATTTTTTTTCCTGTTGAAGCTAGCTAGGGGCTATAGTGCATGCCCTATTAAATGCTATGGGCCACCTATCTCCAGGGTCTACATGTACCATGATTGGTCCCTCACTGTTGCTAGAAGGGAGGGGGGCAAAGAGTCCACACACCCAGTCTGCTCTGTGTGTTTAGAGCTGCTGATAGGAAGGGGTGGGGACGAGCGGGGAGTTACTCAAAGCCCCCTGCTTACATCCTGCCCAAATAAAGATGCTCCAGTCCTTTTTACGTACCTGGTTTCCCACTGCTGACAGAAAGAGAAAGCGAGCTGCAGCTGCAGGAACACACAGAGTCACTCTGCCTTACTCCCTGTGGAGGTGGTGGACTGAGCGGGAGAGAAAAAATTAAGAGCTCTTCCCAAGCCCTCTCCTGTCACAGTGTTCCTATTGTATTCTGTCCAACAAGAAGAGCAATTAGGGGGGGAGGTCAACTGCACCCCACTACTACGCACTCTCCCCACCAAGGATCCTTTGGTCTCCAAAGGAGGGAAGGAGTCAAGTTACATAAAAGTGTATACCGTATTTTTCGCTCCATAAGACGCACCTGACCATAAGACGCACCTAGGTTTTAGAGGCAGAAAACATAAAAAAAATATTCTAAACCAATGGACTGCAGACATAGTACAGGAGATGACCAGAGACTGCGGACATAGTACAGGAGATGACCAGAGACTGCGGACAGAGTACAGGAGATGACCAGAGACTGCGGACACAGTACAGGAGATGACCAGAGACTGCAGACACAGTACAGGAGATGACCAGAGACTGCGGACACAGTACAGGAGATGACCAGAGACTGCGGACATATTACAGGAGATGAGCAGAGACTGCGGACACAGTACAGGAGATGAGCAGAGACTGCGGACACAGTACAGGAGATGAGCAGAGACTGCGGACATAGTACAGTATGACCAGAGACTGCGGACACAGTACAGGAGATGACCAGAGACTGCGGACACAGTACAAGAGATGATCAGAGACTGCAGACATAGTACAGGAGATGGTCAGAGACTGCAGACAAAGTACAGGAGATGACCAGAGACTGCAGATATAGTACAAGAGATGACTAGAGACTGCGGACAGTACAGGAGATGACTGCTGACCTTTGGGGAGAGGGGGGAGCAGGTATCTGAATTTGACAGGTACCCGCTCTTACTTTGGCGGAGTTGTTCTTTGGTTAGTGTCCACTCTGCAGTGGGACCTTACCTGTTCCTCTATCCTGCACCGCGCTGTCTTCCCGGCTTCTGTAGTGTGGGCGCTCGGCTTGACAGCCGGGTGCCCAGTGCGCATGAGCAAGAAGCGCTGCGCTTTGTTATTGGTCCGGCGGCTTCTGGGACCTGTCATGTGTCCCAGGTGCCGCCTTACCATTCACAAAGCACACCACTTCTCGCGCATGCGCACTGGGCACCCGGCTGTCAAGCCGAGCGCCCACACTACAGACGCCGGGAAGACAGCACGGCGCTGGATAGAGGAACAGGTAAGGTCCCGCTGCAGAGCTGAGCGGCCGGCCCTGTATTGTGACACGGCGGCAGTGGAAATACCGGACCGGCTGCTCCATATTTGCTCCATAAGACGCACTGACATTTTCCCCCCTTTTTTGGGGGGAAAAAAGTGCGTCTTATGGAGCGAAAAATACGTTAATTGTAACTTAAATGAATGCTAAAAGCACGTTAAGTTAACATTCACATGAACCTAGATAGTTCTCATTACCATACAATTTTTTTTTTTTACTATTATATCTTTTATGAAATTTTTTCCAATATATAAATCGACACTATATCAAATGTATCAAAAATACAGACATTTCACATAATTATCTGTTCCTATCCCCTCCCACCATTATCCCATCCCCACCATTGAATTACCTCTGTCCATATAATTCTTTGCATCCATTTCCTTCCATATTTTCCGGTCTATGTCTATATCCCTTTTTTTCTCTTTTTTTCTTTCCTTATACTCCTTTTCTTCCCTTCCTTTTCTCTTCCCTCTCTTTCTCTCCTTTCTTCTTTTTTTCCCCCTCTCTTCTTTCTCTTCTCTTCATATACGAACCTAGATAATTCTCATTACCATACAATTTTTTTTTTTATTATATCTTTTATTAAATTTGTTCCAATATATAAATCGACACTATATCAAATTTATCAAAAATACAGACATTTCACATAAATTGTCTGTTCCCATCCCCTCCCACCATGATCCCATCCCCCTATTGAATTACCCCTGTCCATATACAGTGGGGCAAAAAAGTATTTAGTCAGCCACCAATTGTGCAAGTTCTCCCACTTAAAAAGATGAGAGAGGCCTGTAATTGGCATCATATGTAGACCTCAACTATGAGAGACAAAATGAGAAAAAAAATCCAGACAATCACATTGGCTAATTTGGAAAGAATGTATTTGCAAATTATGGTGGAAAATAAGTATTTGGTCACCTACAAACAAGCAAGATTTCTGGCTCTCACAGACCTGTACCTTCTTCTTTAAGAGGCTCCTCTGTCCTGCACTCATTATCTGTATCAATGGCACCTGTTTGAACTTGTTATCAGTATATAAGACACCTGTCCACAACCTCAAACAGTCACACTCCATACTCCACTATGGTGAAGACTAAAGAGCTGTCAGAGGACACCAGAATCAAAATTGTAGACCTGCACCAGGCTGGGAAGACTGAATCTGCAATAGGCAAGCAGCTTGGTGTGAACAAATCAACTGTGGGAGCAATAATTAGAAAATGGAAGACATACAAGACCACTCATAATCTCTCTCGATCTGGGGCTCCACGCAAGATCTCACCCCGTGGGGTCAAAATGATCACAAGAACGATGAGCAAAAATCCCAGGACCACACAGGGGGACCAAGTGAATGACCTGCAGAGAGCTGGGAGCAACAAAACTTAGGCTACCATCAGTAACACACTACGCCACCAGGGACTCAGATCCTGCAGTGCCAGACGTGTCCCCCTGCTTAATCCAGTACATGTCCGGGCCCATCTGAAGTTTGCTAGAGAGCACTTGGATGATCCAGAAGAGGATTGGGAGAATGTCATATGGTCAGATGAAACCAAAATAGAACTGTTTGGTAGAAACACAACTCGTCCTGTTTGGAGGAGAGAGAATGCTGAGTTGCATCCAAAGAACACCATACCTACTGTAAAGCATGGGGGTGGCAACATCATGCTTTGGGGCTGTTTCTCCGCAAAGGGACCAGGACAACTGATCCATGTACAGGACAGAATGAATGGGGCCATGTATCGTGAGATTTTGAGTGCAAACCTCCTTCCATCAGCAAGGGCATTGAAGATGAAACATGGCTGGGTCTTCCAACATGACAATAGTCCAACAAAACATACCGCCCGGGCAACGAAGGAGTGGCTTCGTAAGAAGCATTTCAAGGTCCTGGAGTGGCCTAGCCAGTCTCCAGATCTCAACCCCATAGAAAACCTTTGGAGAGTGTTGAAAGTCCGTGTTGCCCAGCGACAGCCCCAAAACATCACTGCTCTAGAGGAGATCTGCATGGAGGAATGGGCCAACATACCAGCAACAGTGTGTGCCAACCTTGTGAAGACTTACAGGAAACGTTTGACCTCTGTCATTGCCAACAAAGGATATATAACAAAGTATTGAGATGAACTTTTGATATAGACCAAATACTTATTTTCCATAGAGATGAGCGAATTATTCAAAAATTCGATTCGGCTGATTCGCCGAATTTGCGGAATAAATTTGATTCGATGCGAATTTATTCGCTGCGAATTTAACTTATTAAAAGGGTTTCTAGGCTTCAGAGAGCCTTCATATTAGTGCAGAACACTGTACCTTTAATTTAAATGCCCTTGGAGTCTGCTGGGAAGAGAAATAATACTGTCAGTCAGTATGACATGCAGATGAGTGCCGTCGATCTTAGAATCACCGCACACTTCACTCATTTGGGCAGTCACGGGGCCAAAACCAGAGTGTGGAGCCACAGTGTGGCGGTGGAGGCAGCAGCAATGGGAGGCCATACAGCACCCTATGACAAAATGGAACCCACCAGCAGTGTGAGGAGACCTGAAAGTGGCACATGGCAGAGTGTGGCGATGGAGACAGCAGCAATGGGAGGCCGTACAGGGACCCATGAGAGACTCTGGACCTGGCAGCAGCATGAGGAGGCGGTACGGGGGCCATGGCAGATTACGGCCTGGCAGCAGCAATGGGAGGCCCGTAATCTGCCAGCACCCTATGACAAAATGGAACCCACCAGCAGTGTGAGGAGACCTGAAAGTGGCACATGGCAGAGTGTGGCGATGAAGTCAGCAGCAATGGGAGGCCGTACAGGGACCCATGACACACTCTGGACCTGGCAGCAGCATGAGGAGGCGGTACAGGGGCCCATGGCAGAGTGGCGAAGCGTAAGCAGAGTTAAATGAGGCCCATACAGAAGGCCATACAGAGCCTATGTTAAAAAGTACCCCCCAGCAGCAGTGTGGGGAGACGACTATCAAGAGTCCAATGGCAGAGTGGCGGAGCAGAAGCAGCTTCAATTGAAGAAGAAGAGGATGAGGATTGAAAGAAGAAGAAGAAGAGGATGAAGGAAGAAGAAGAAGAAGATGAGGATGAAGAAGAAGAGAAGAGAGAGGCGAGGATGAAGAAGAAGAAGAAGAAGAAGAGGATGAGGATGAGGAAGAAGAAGAATAGGATGAAGAAGAAGAAGAAGAAGAAGAAAGAAGAAGAAGAAGATGAGGATGAAGAAGAAGAAGAAGATGAGGAAGAAGAAGAAGAAGAAGAAGAAGAAGGGATGAGGATGAGGAAGAAGAAGAAGAAGAAGAAGAAGAAGAGGATGAGGATGAGGAAGAAGAAGATGAGGATGAAGAAGAAGAGGATGAGGATGAAAAAGAAGAAGAAGAAGAAGAAGATGAGGATGAAGAAGAAGAAGAAGAAGATGATGAGGATGATGAAGAAGAAGAAGAGGAAGAGGATGAGGATGAGAAGAAGAAGAAGAAGAAGAGAAGAAGAGGATGAGGATGAGAACAAGAGGATGAGGATGAAGAAGAAGAGAAGAGGATGAGGATGAGGAAGAAGAAGAAGAAGAGGATGAGGATGAGGATGAAGAAGAAGAAGAAGAGAGGATGAGGATGAAGAAGAAGAAGAAGAAATTGATGAGGATGAAGAAGAAGAAGAAGAAGAAGAAGAAGAGAAGAGGATGAAGAAGAAAAGAATGAAGAAGAAGAGGATGAGGATGATGAAGAAGAAGAAGAAGAAGAAGAAGAGGATGAGGATGAGGAAGAAGAAGAAGGATGAGGATGAAGAAGAAGAAAGAGGATGAGGATGAAGAAGAAGAAGAAGATGAGATGAAGAAGAAGAAGAAGAGGATGAGGATGATGATGAAGAAGAAGAAAGAAGAAGAGAGAGGATGAGGAAGAAGAAGAAGAAGAAGAAGAAGAAGAAGAAGAAGAAGAAGATGAGGATGAGGATGAAGAAGAGGATGAGGATGAAGAAGAAGAAGAAGATGAGGATGAAGAAGAAGAAGAGGATGAGGATGAAGAAGAAGAAGAAGAGGATGAGGATGAGGAAGAAGAAGAAGAGGATGAGGATGAAGAAGAAGAAGAAGAAGAAGAAGAAGAAGAGGATGAGGATGATGAAGAAAGAAGAAGAAGAAGATGAGGATGAAGAAGAAGAAGAAGAGGATGAGGATGAGGATGAAGAAGAAGAAGAAGAAGAAGAAGAGAAGATGAGGATGAGGATGAAGAAGAAGAAAAAGAAGAAGAAGAGGATGAGGATGAGGAGAAGAAGAAGAAGAGGATGAGGATGAAGAAGAAAGAAGAAGAAGAAGAAGAAGAAGAAGAGATGAGGATGAAGAAGAAGAAGAAGAAGAAGAAGAAGAAGAAGAAGAAGATGAGGATGAAGAAGAAGAAGAAGAAGAAGAAGAGGATGCGGATGAGGATGAAGAAGAAGAAGAAGAAGAAGAAGAAGATGAGGATGAGGATGAAGAAGAAGAAAAAGAAGAAGAAGAGGATGAGGATGAGGAAGAAGAAGAAGAGGATGAGGATGAAGAAGAGAAGAAGAGGATGAGGATGAAGAAGAAGATGAGGATGAAGAAGAAGAAGAAGAGAAAGAGGATGAGGATGAGGATGATGAAGAAGAAGAGGATGAGGATGAGGAAGAAGAAGAAGAAGAAGAAGAAGGAGAGATGAGGATGAAGAAGAAGAAGAAGAAGAAGAAGAGGATGAGGATGAAGAAGAGGATGAGGATGATGAAGAAGAAGAAGAGGATGATGGTGAGGAAGAAGAAGAAGAAGAGGATGAGGATGAAGAAGAAAAAGAAGAAGAAGAGGAGGATGAGGATGAAGAAGAAGAAGAAGAAGAAGAAGAGGATGAGGATGAAGAAGAAGAAGAGGATGAGGATGAAGAAGAGAGGATGAGGATGAAGAAGAAGAGAATGAGGATGAAGAAGAGGATGAGGATGAAGAAGAAGAAGAAGAAGAAGAAGAGGAAGAGGATGAGGATGAAGAAGAAGAGGATGAGGATGAAGAAGAAAGAAGAAGAGGATGAGGATGAGGATGATGAAGAAGAAGAAGAAGTAGGATAAAAATAAGAAGAATTCCATTCCAGCAAAAAGTGTATCTGCAGAGAGCTCCGCTATTTCTGACAGTTCTCTGACAGTTCCTTCACATTTACAGCGGTTGAAACATTGTATCTATTTGTTTCCGAATAAAAACATCTGTATCCTAAATGGAAACAAATAGATACAATGTTTCAACCGCTGTAAATGTGAAGGAACTGTCAGAGAACTGTCAGAAATAGCGGAGCTCTCTGCAGGGACACTTTTTGCCAGCTGTAGAAGGGATGAAAATCAGCCGATCAGGGAAAATTCGATTCGTGCATCCGAAGTTTGCTAATTTTCGGATTCGGCGCGAATTGAATTTTTCCTAATATTCGAAACTAATTCCACTTCGCCAAGTTCGATTCGCTCATCTCTAATTTTCCACCATAATTTGCAAATAAATTCTTTCTAAATCAGCCAATGTGATTGTCTGGATTTTTTTCTCATTTTGTCTCTCATAGTTGAGGTCTACCTATGATGCCAATTACAGGCCTCTCTCATCTTTTTAAGTGGAAGAACATGCACAATTGGTGGCTGACTAAATACTTTTTTGCCCCACTGTAATTCTTTGCATCTATTTCCTTTCATATTTTCCTGTCTTTGTCTTTATCTCTTTTTTTCCCTCTTTCTTTCCTTATACTCTTTTTCTTCCCTTTCTTTTCTCTTCCCTCACTCTTTCTCTCCTACCTTCTTTTCTTTTTTTTTTCCCTCTCTCCTTTCTTTTATCTTTATAAACGACCCTCCAGTTGTTCCACTTCTAAATATTGTTTTGATGCTTTAAAGTCATACCATTTACCCCATTCTTTTCTAGGTTTTTACATTTTATCTTCCTCTGTATGGTATAACTCCTCCATCTTATTTATATACTTGATCCTATCTATCCAGGCCTTCATTGTTTGGGGCTCCTGTACCTGCCAAAATTTGGTAATGAGTCCTTTAGGCCGCGCTATTTAGATGGTATAGTACACTGCTTGTATATTGTTTCGTTGAAATCTCTAACCTATAAATAAACACACACCCACAGATCCTTCTGTATAGTGATCCCCAATATCTCCTGTATATATTGGATTAGTTCTTGCCAGAACACCTGTATTTTAGGACAATCCCACCATATATGTGCCATTGTTCCCTTAGACCCATACCCCCTCCTACATAATGGTGAAACTTCTGCTCGTTGTCTATGTGCCACACTTGGTGTGAAATACCATCTCAGTAAGCATTTGTAATTCATTTCAACTGTGTTCATGCTCATCACCCCATGTGTTGATATAAATAATATCTTGTTTTTCTGTTGCTCATTCATTTTTGTTCCCAATTCACTTTCCTATTTCTCTAAGAACAATGGAGGATTAGATCCCATCAGTTCAATAAGGATCTTATAGATCCTAGAGGTGGCATGTTTTTGAGCTATATTTGAACTCAACATTTTTTCAAATGGGAGCTTGTCCTCCGGAATCCTTAGTGGTTGGGGGAGCATTGAGACAAAATGTCTTAATTGATAATACCTCAATTCGTTTAATATGAAAAATAATTTTTTTTTACTCTTTAAATCTTGAAAAGTGTGCAATTTCCCCTTATCTACTATATCCTTTAAACGTGCATCTCTATCTTTAAATCACTTCCCTGAAATATTATATTTCCCTAGTGGGAAAATCTTTGTTCTCACCAGGGGAATCAACAATGAATTATACTTCCAACCAATTTGCTTGTGCATTGCATTTCATACTCTTAACACCTCCCCTGACAACATGCTAATATTTTTATCCACTGCACAAAATTTTTGTGGTATCAAAATAATCCCCCCTAGTTGTGCGTTACTTAATATACCTTCCATTTTAACCCAAATTTTCTCCTCTGAGTTATATGTCCAATCTACAACTCATGACAATATTAACAAAATATAGTAATTCCTAATACTGGGCAAGTTTAATCCCCCTTTCCCTTTATTATTGCACAAAACCTCATAATTAATTTTTGGTTTCTTATTAGCCCATATAAACTTAAGTATCATTTTTTTTATTATCACAAAGAAAGATCCCAGTATATATACTGGGAGCATGTGGAACTTATACAAGATTTTTGGGACTATCACCATCTTAACCAGGTTTATACGCCCAATCCAATCTCATCCTTTATTTCATTTATTAATGGGATATAGTTTACCTGACATATGTTCTTTATTGAAGGGAGTTAACTTTATTCCTAGATAAATTGATGTGTGAGTATAATATGACCTTCTCATAAAACAGCGCTCATCTATATATAAAACAGCAAATATATTGTGTTGAATATAGAACAAACAGAAACCAAAAAAAAATATAAATAGAATGGAAAGGTAACAGTTTTTCCACCAAGGTGTAATATAGTGCTAAGTGCAGTGCGCCCCTGGAGGTGGAACAGGAGGTGCAGTGCCCAAAGAAATACGGGTTGCCAGTGGTGTTGCTGCTTGGCAATGCCTGATGAGATGGAACCCGTGGGTGCTCTAGTTGCAGGATGCATTTCTCCAGGGAACACGTGGATCCTGGAGGATGGGTAGAGTAGTCAGTAGCCAGAGCCAGGATCAATATGGAACAGAAGACAAGAGCAACGTTAGGATCAAACTGGGGTCATACACAGAGTAGCAGCAGATAGGAGCAAGATCAGGATCAAGCCGGGGTCACACACAGAGCAGCAGACAGGTACAAGGTGAAGAGCAAGTAGGGATCATACACAGAGCAGCAGACAGGAACAAGGTCAGGAGCAAGCCGGGATTATACACAGAGCAGCAGACAGGAACAAGGTCAGGATCAAGCTCGGTCGGTAATGGGTAATCAGCAGGAAACTCAGGAGCACAGGAACAGGAGGGGCTGACGATAATCCAGCAATCACTGAGCAGAGCTGCAGTCCTTATAAAGGCCACTGAGTGTCATTAGTACACCCTGCATGTGCTGGTGTGTTTTCGTGCACAGGAATGCTTATTACGTGTTGCCCGCCTATGCACATGCACACTTCTTTGCGCGAATTGGCGTGGCCATATTGCGAATTGGCGCATTTGCCCGGGCTTCCTCGTCTTTTCCTCTGACGACCTCTGTGCTTCTACAGTGATTAGCACCCCATTAAAATGAACACTCACCAGATTATGGTGAATAATCAGCAGTATAAATTATCCTCCTTCTTTAAGTTATCAACCAGCAGTATAAGATCTCCTCCTCTTGGGCTCACCATCAGCCAGCAATCAGGCCAGAGTCA